CAGACGGGTTTAATATTCTCCTTGTAGAGGTTGTTAAAATGTTGCTAAGAAATGACAGTAACGCATAACGAGTGAAGAACAAGCTGCTTTTACGCACACTTTAAAGCACCGTGCAGGCGGACTTTTACGCACACAGTATCCAGTGAGATTCTTAAAAAATGTGCTGAACAAAAGCAAAGATTTGAAAGTTGCAGGTTTATTCATTGCGCCTGAACACTGCGCTGATTTTCGTGGTTATTTATTTATTTATTTTTGGATGTGTTTTCCCCACGGTTGACTGAAACATATAACTTTTCTTTCGAGTATTATATTACACTTAAATTAACCTCTGGGCAACACGACAGTAAAACACTAATTGAGGCGCTCTCTAGATGAAAGCTGTAAATCACTGTCAATGCAGGCTGTAGCAAAAGCTATCCCCGCTCCCAACCTCCACGTGAACACAGAGAACTTTTGCCCCCCCCCAACTTAAAACACTTGCTGTGAGTTTCGTGTTCGGTTCTTTTACCCAAGAATCCTTAAATAATTATCCGAGTTTCAAACGCAAGCACCCCAGTCCCACATATATTAAAGCGTGGAATCTGTTGCCTTCATGGTGCCCAGTTTGACCAACTTGTTCTGACAAAGAGGGGCTGGGAGGGCCGGGGGGAAGAAGCGGGTCGGTGTGAGAAGCAGGTGTTTGGCTCAGTTAACGTGTGTAACCAAGTGATTTGACCGGCCCGCGAGAACAAACACAATCTGATAAACACTAACACATCCAACACACACAAGGGGACATACGCCGAGTTAATCTTTGAGGGAGAAATAAAAGCTATCTTTGTTTGCGTCCCCTCCTGTCTGAAACACTCCGAGCCTCGGCTCCAGGACGCAGACTGCGCGCTGCAAAAAATGTCCATCCTGAGCTGTTCCGTGGAAGCATATCAGCCCCAATGATGCGCAATTGAAATGATTTAACTAATAATCAAATGTTTTTCTTCGTCAAGAAAATTGATTTTTAAATAGATGTATTTCAAGTTCATAGAAAGCAACCAAAAATGCGCAATGAAAATAAAAGCAGTTCTCTCACGCTGGTGTTCTTTTTAAGACAGAAAAAAACAAAAAAAGAGAGAGACTTTGTTGGGGTGATTGTAAATTTGTTTTGCTCGTCCGTGCAGCCATTTCTTGCAGTGTGAGCTGGTTTGATAGGAAAAACGCCTCACTCTCTCCTGTGATTTTGATGTGATGTGTCACTAGCTGTGACCCCGAGCTGGACCCTCTGAGAGCTGCTTGGCATCGAACGGCTGACTGGAGTATTTGAACTCGGTGATCTAATTGAGTGTTCATGTCATAACATATCAAACACTGTCTATTCTCCCATAATGACCCAACTCGGCCACAATGGGCACATCACCAAAAAAATGACGAGAGAGGAAAAAATCGAAAGGGAAGTTTCGTCGCTGTGAAGTGGTTTGTATTCTTTTTTTTGCCACCGCCACTTTAATTACGGAAAATTATTTTTCTTTCCGTTCTTTCAGCTCAAGTACCTTCGGTTACTTCTGGGATTCCTCCCAGCATCCCTAAAGTGTTGCACTGAATTAACCTGCACAATGAACCTCAGCTGGGACATTTCCCTATTTGAATCACCTCCATCAGGAAACACTGGGGAAGGCTTTTTGACGCGGAAAGTAGTAAATTTTGCGCATGACTCATGCGTGCAGAGATAGCTTTTTTAAAAGACCTGTAGCTTCTTTTGCTTTCACACTTTTTAATTTTTTTTTAGGTAGATGAAATTTGCTTATTAACCAGGCGGTGTTTCCTGGAGGTCAGAAAAGGCAAGATCAGAAAAGAATAACCCGATTCTGAAAATTACTTTTGGCACTTGGGGTAACTCATTAAAGCGCAGATGGTGCAGCCTGGCCTCTCTCTCTCTCTCTCTCTCTCTCTCGTTCTCTTTCTCTATCCCCCCTCTCTCTATCCCCCTCTCTCTCCAAACAGACATAGATGACAAAAACATGTTTTGCATTTGCTCAGATACAACCAACAAGGTCACAAAAAAGTGCACAGGATGCAGGCTTTAACCACGCAATAAAATCTACTGCACTCTCCCCCAATTATCCGCCGTCAAGCGTGTTACGCATAATGGAAAAAATTGGCTTTGTGTATAATACTCAAATGAAGAAAAGTTTGTAACTTTCTTTTTTAACTGTCAACAAAAATAACAAAATAATTCCTGCAGTCAGTCACTGACAGTCCCCTTTGCGTTTTAAGGGGGATGTTGTCGTTGGCAGGGATGAGATTAAATATAAGAGGGAAAGTACTTTAATGAGGAATATGGGAATTGAGAACTGTTAATTATTTGGTGAACTTGTATTCGATTTGTTTGAGGTCTTATAAAAAAAAGTAATGCAAACCAGACGTGCAAAGTCACTGAAAGGAGCACAAGGTTTCAATCTGCTTTTACTGTCTGACTCGGCTGAGATCACAGGGGAAACTGACAACCGCATTTAAATATCTCTATGGAGTAACTTTTACAAATCAGACCACGAGGGCTTTTCGATCTAGCCAAGTCACTTTAATAATATGAATGAATAATAATAATAAAAAGAATCACGATAAAATACTGATTTGACTAAAAAAGTGCGCAGTAAATCACAAACAGTTGAAACATGTTGAGATATTTGTATAATAAAACTTTAACATTTCATATATTAAATCTAAATTCATTTTTTCGTCTTTTTTTAAAAATTACTTTTTTGTGTTTTACTGAAACTGTTGAAGCTCCTTTGGGGTAAAATTCGAAAACAGTAAAAAGCACCGGGGAGGGCGAAAAAATTCGCCATAGATGCAGTTTTTCCCCCTTTCAACACACACACACACACACACACACACACACACACACACACACACACAAACACACACACACACACACACACACACACACACACACACAAAATTAAATAAAATGTTTCCATTAAATGAGAAATTGAATACGTGCTAACACCTTCTCATGCAGCCTGTCTCGGTGTTAAATTCCAGTCTCATTGCTTCGCCTTGATGAAATATTTGTTGACCTCCTGGGTCTCCAGTGGGGAATAATGCATTAATTGTGTATTGTTCAGCTGAGTGTACAGTATGTCGCTTGGTCCGTTAGTGTCTGGCAAGCGCTGAGGACCTTCGCATGCACAAAGCCCTTGTTTTTTTTTTGGGGGGGGGGGGGGGGGGGGGGGTTTCTTACAAACAAGACTCTGCAATAAACCTCTCTCCCCCTCCTCCAAAAAAGAAAAAAGAAGAGAAAACTAAATACATTTTTTTCTGGTGCTCTGGCTGCTTCTCAGACTTTTAGGGAAATAATAGTTTCAGGCTTCTTCTGCTCAGCCAGAGAAGTGGAAATTAATGATCGGTCTGTCAGCATGTTGAACGAAAGCGTGGGTATTTTTGCGAAAATACACTGGCTTTGATTAAAAGTGGCACGGAATGCAAATATTGGCAGGTTGTTCTGGAGTTTTGTTCGAAAAAAAATATTTATAAAAAGTGTTCACGTCATTCCCGTGATTTTCGGAGAAATGTGATATCAAGTGAAAAAAAAAGACAGAATTTATAATTCATCTCAAAATACGTGCACGTTTTGCAGGAAATTAAATTAAGAAACCGCAAATTTTATATAAGGAAGCTTTCAAATAAACTCTGTGAGCTTAACCTTCATCCCGCCTTTAGCCCTATAAAAGTTTTAAAAAGGCGTCATTTCGAGAAAAACAATTGTTTTAAGTTCCATATAATGGTATGAGTTGTTTTCTTTTTTCAATTCCCCTCCAGACTGGGGACTTGTCAGCTGCAGTTTGTTTCAGTCAGGTCCAGGGTGGACATTTGAACAACAAGAAAGAGAGAGAAGGCCTCTGTGGGAGAATGTGAGCCCCCCATCCCCCGACCCCCTCCTTCCTCTCACCCCTCCCGTCCTCCCTCTGAACACTGTACACCCTAAGTGAATCTGACTGCAATTATTTTCTCCTTTTATCCCCGCAGACGATCTTTTGCACTCTCCTCTGCGAAGACAAAAGTATCTGTTTGATGTCTCAACCCTTTCAGAAAAAGAGGAGCTGGTCGGGGCGGAATTAAGGATATTTAGGAGAGCGCCCGGTGATTTGCAGACTTCCCTGCAGAAGACGGGCCTCTACGACATTCAGCTCTACCCCTGTCGCTCAGACAAGCTGCTGGACTCCAGGTCCCTGGACCTGCTGGATTCCACGAAAGCCGGCTGGGAAGTGCTGGACGTGTGGGAAGTGTTTAAAGCGCGCCAGCATCATTATCACCACCCCCATCGCTCTCGTCACTATCAGCAGGAGAACCAGCTTTGCCTCCAGCTAAGGGTCACACTGGGCAAATCGGACACCGAGGTCGACCTGAGGCAGCTGGGGCTGGACAGGAGCGGCCGGTCCCAGCAGGAGAAGGCCATCTTGGTGGCCTACACCCGCTCCAAGAAGAGGGAGAACCTGTTCAACGAGATGAAGGAGCAGATCAAGTCGCGGAGGTCGGTCAGTGAGAAGGAAGTGAAGGTGGCAAAAGAGGAGGGGGTATCTCCGCTGACTGGGGCCAAAGGAGAAGGGCCCAGGCGGCGGCGGAGGACGGCGCTGGGCAACCGGCACGGGAAGCGGCACGGGAAGAAATCCAAATCCAGGTGCAGCAAAAAGGCTCTGCACGTGAATTTCAAAGAGCTTGGCTGGGACGACTGGATCATTGCACCCCTGGATTACGAGGCTTACCACTGCGAGGGGGTGTGCGACTTCCCCCTGAGGTCGCACCTGGAGCCGACCAACCACGCCATCATACAGACGCTCATGAACTCCATGGACCCCAACAGTACCCCGCCCAGCTGCTGCGTGCCCACCAAACTCAGCCCTATCAGCATCCTGTACATTGACTCGGGCAATAACGTGGTGTACAAACAGTACGAGGATATGGTGGTGGAGCAGTGTGGGTGCAGGTAGCGGCCATTATTGTGAAAAAACAAAACAAAAAACAACAACAACAGAAGATTGTTAAAGATACTCTCAGTGGGTTCAAGGCTGAAGGTAGAAAGTCCTCATGGGTCTCAAAGCGTTTTGACGCATGATGCGCCTTGTTTTTATTCAAAAGGGATGCGTGCGCACGCACACGCGCGCGCACATACACACAAGCACACACATACACACACGCACACACACACGAGGCCATATCTTTTATTTATTCAGACTCAGTCGCATTAAATTCCACTCTCTGCCTTAAAGTGTTAAGCACAATATTTCCCAACTAGGCGTCAAGTATCATAAAATCGATTTTTCTTGTTGTTTTTTTCCCAAAAAGTGCGATGTGTCCACATGGCACGAGGAGAAGGGCGTTCTGATTGAGATGGGGGGAACTATTAAGTCCGACTGCGCACATGTGCGTGCCGAGGACAGCGGGCTTTGCCTTTAAGCAGCGCTTTGTTGTAGCGTGTGATCCTGGCAGCCTGGCCGGACTCTTTTGGGTATGTGCATCCAGGCCTCAAATGTAACTGTCCAGCTGGAGTCATTACAGACCCGAGCAAGTGCCCGTTGTAAAAAAACAAACAAATAAATTAAAAAAAATGAAGGGGGTGAATGTCTAATCTACCAAACACAAACACAGACTGGTCTGAGGAGAGGTGATAAGACGGTGGTCGTGATGGTGGTGGTGGTGGCAATGCCTTCAAAGAGATTTCTTGTTTTTCCTTACTGGAGGCCATCTGAAAGGCGCTGGGAGAGGGCGCATTTACGGACAGAAAGGACACAAAATCAGACTTAATGCGTGAATGAAAGAAAAAAAGAAAGAAAGAACACATAACTGAGGCGTAATTTCAAGCTCAAAAGTCGGCATCTTTACGAAATGCACTTCCACAACTGACTGCGCCAAGGACATGTGGTCAGCTGAATTCGTCTTCTCTGATGACGAAAAAACAAAATATTAAAAAAAGACAAGAAAAAGAAAAAGGACTCGCAAACGAGACGTTATTTAAATGCACATTAGCTTTGAATGCACTGCTGTTCGTTTTCTTTTTGTTTGTTTGAGTTGTAAATACTTGTACAGTCCCCCGCCCCAAAAGAACTCTACAAAGTGCAACGAATGAAGAAATGAGAAAACGGCATTTCTTTGTAAATGTACAAAAATGCACTCAAATCGGTATAATTTCTATTCTATAATTATTTTATTATTTGTGATGTACAGAGTTTTCATGATAATCATATATTTCTTACGTGGATAAGAGTAATTTAAGGTGTATTGATATTTTGCAGAGGGTGGAAAATACCATTATTAATGTCTACCTCATAATTGCATATAGGAGGTGCATTCAGTTAGAGTGTAAAGAGCTTTTACAATGATATATAAGATCATTTATTTACATATATTACTGGCTAATATTCCACACCATTACTGTACAAATAAAATTCAAAAGAAAGCCCACCAGTCTGGCCTTCTGATGATTGATGCCAACTATTCTCTTAAGAAAAATTCTTTTGCATTAATTTGATGTGTTTTTAAGTCCAGTAAGAACTTTGCAGGGGATTAGTTTCTGGGGAAGCTATGGGAAGGCAATAAGATGTCTTTTTAATCTGTTGATACACTAAATTGCTTGCATTACTGATTCTTAATCCCTTGCATTTTCCACCCTTCATTTTCATTCATTTTCCCACTCTCGCAATATTCTATCTATATTCTATATTTATCTTAATAAAATCCTTCCTCTCATTACCTGAAGAAAAAAAGAATCACCTGATACTACTTCATTAGAGTCTCTCTGAGTAGTTTTACTTTTATTCCCTGAATGAGATGTACAAAGTGCATCCGGTCCACATACACGTTTCCTGGCAGGTCAGATCTGGTCTTAGTGAACACGTTCTCATCACAGACCACAAATGTAAGTGTGCACTGACTGGATGTGTCAGAATTGCCCCACATGGTGACCATCCACAGCGAGGGGAATCCACTGACTTGACTGTCGCTGATATGACACTGAATGCAGCTATTTCTCAATGAATTAGTCCTGCCTGGGTCAAGTTTACTTAATACTTTAATGTTTTCCAATCTGTGGATGAAAACAGGAAAAAAAAAGAAAGTAAAAGAAGAAAAATAAAAAAGTTTGAAAGAAGGGATAGCTTCCATAGAGTGCTATCGACCTTGGCCTGGAAACAATTAGGAAATTGCTTTGAAAAGTTATATGTTGTCCAGGCTCTTGTACAGTATCATGTCACTCCCCACATGTTTGCTACGCGGAAACAGAGGATGCTAAGTGCACTCTTTAGCGGCCGCTGCAAATGACTGACACAACAAGCATTCCCCTGAGTATAACCAAATGCCCCCCACCCCAAACAGGCCACATGTCTGGAGAACCATCAACGGGGCGCTACTGTGAGAGATACGGTGCACCACCACAGGACTCTTTTCCGCACCAGAGATGAAGACTTTGCAGCTGATTGTGGATTAGAGAAACTGTAAAGTTGCTCAATCAAGTTGAAATTTCTAAGCTATTGCGTATTAACTCGTGCAGTAAACCTTTGCTGTTTGATTTATATTTATTTGACAAGTCCCTCGGTCTGGTGGGCACTGGCCTGGAGGTGAGACGGGATTTTAAGGGAACAGTTAAATGGCGATGAAAGGGAAAGGAATGCTTTGTTTACCCCGCTTCAATCCCTCACTCTTAAGTTGAACGTTCCTATAAAGTTCTCCATCACAACTGCGTTATTGTCCCTCCATCCACACCGAGCACAGAGAGAGAGAGCGAGAGAGCACAAAACCAGAGTTGTGTTTATTTGAAACTCGGTCCTAATACATTAGTCTAAGCAAACCAAAACTGGCAAAGAGAGGGGTCCTTTTCATCAGAAATGTGGAGAATGTATAACACAAATAGTCTTGACACCCCACATCTGTGCATGGAGGCTCCTCTTGAGAGAACTGTAAGGCTGCCCAAGTGAAGATCTACAAGGTGCTGTACTCAGTGAAAGCCCGGGAGCGTCTCCAAGAGTTTAGAAAATGTCTCGGCTCTTCTGGAGACATAAATGCTCCTCATACTTAACGGCTCTCTTATCAGTGATGCCCTAAGCAGCGACAGGAAAGGCATAAATCACACTGATCGTCCAGACAGCAGGGGACCTCTAAGCGAGTACAAAAATGTATTAAACCGGCATTAAGAAGCATTAGAAAATGCTCTGCGAAGGCTTAGATGCTGTGCTTTGACTTGCTCACCGGAGACATGAAAACACAGATGAGAATGCTTAGATTTGGCCGAGGTCTGACTTTTAAACTGCTACTGATACACTCCAGTAAGAATACAGTCAATTTATTTAACAGTTTTATTTCCTCACATATAATTTATTTATTTGACCTCCATTTCCGGTTTCCCAGATAGTGTCGTCCCTTCAATAATAAAGCCAGACATTTCTTTCCAAGGCAGTGCAAGGTGGTGCTTCTCTGGGTTCAAACAGACGCAGAATAAATTGACTCTCACAGACTTACCCCACATTATTCAGCGAGTGTGAGCCTCTAGACGTATCTGTGTATCTGTGAGCGCGTCTGAGTGGACAGAAGGGCAACGGCACACACAGATGGGCAGATGAGTGGTGCAGGAGAGGAGCAGATGCCTGAAGTGACCCCTACTGCTGCCTTTCATTGAACCACTGGCTCAAACACAAAGGCGGGGGCTGGCCCCTAAACATTTAATACACTTGCCTCTGCTTTAATGCCAGAGGTCACTTTTTTTTGTCTTTGCAGTGAGTCATAAAAAAGTAAAAATGTATTTGTAAGGTTTCTTTCTTCTTCTTCTTTCTTAATTTTTCTTTTCTTTTCTTTTCTTCTTCTTCTTTTTTTTTGCTTTTTTGCAAAAAGACAAACCAAACTGCTCAGGTTAGCAGACATTGTCTGAGCAGAGAAATTTAATAAAGTCTGGACAAACACCCCCAAACCCTAAACAGCTATGATGTAACAAAAGAGACTGGGCTGCTCTCTTCTAACAGGGCATCTGCCTTGTGTTCCTCCAAGGTACAAAAGAAAGCTATCCCTCCCTCCTGCCAGGCCATACGGTAACAGGAAGACAGCAGACACCTCCGCTTCACCACAGATAACCTGCTAATTGCATTAAACACACTCCCAACTGGGCTTTTGAAATGTGAGGATGAAGGAAGTGTATCTTATTGCAGTTGTAGTCGAATGCCACTTAAATGTTTCAAGCAATAGAGCATTGTTTTCCCGAGCATGAAAGTCTACTTTGTAGCGTCACATTAAAACACATTTAGAACCTTCAAGAAACAGCAAAAGCTCAGGCTGATGGATCTGCGTTGAATACCTGTCCAGAGAAACCAGTTTGTGTTCTGTTTATTTTCTAAAGGAATGTCTGAGGGTGCCCTTTCACCCCTCCTCATCCATTCACTGCCCCTGGTCTATGTTACAGATGGTGACCCAGGTCTTCGCCATCCTTGATTAACAAGCGCACCTTTTAGGTTCTCCTGTGGATCTCTGCATAAAGGCAGCTTGTCTTCTTGTGTGCTCAGAGTCCATCTTTTTGTCTTTACGAGAGCGCATGTGTGAGTGTCTGAATGAGCTCAAGTGAAAAGTAAATTTACTCAGTTCGCAGTGACAATGCTTATGTTTGGGAGCACGGTAAGGACGTAACCTCGCTGCCAGTTTACATCCGTGCAGCGGCTCGAGAGCAGAGGGAAGGTCACTGACCAGCGGGCGCCTGACTCATAGCTTTCACTGGCCTACATGCTTGGGCCACTCGAGTATGTGTTAGGTCTAAAGTTTATGTTTTGTGCTAGCAACCTTTAAGGAAAAAACAAGAACTAATCAGCAAAGTGACCCCAGATTATGCTGGAAAAACCGTTTATGGCTTAGAAAAGAATCTGATGTGCCAGCTGTGCCATTCTTTCTGTCCTGATTGACACTGACTCAGTGTCGATTAACTTTTTTACTGCTCTACATAGATTTAAAAATGATTTGAAAATGGGTGGTATCGAAAAAGGTGTTGGTTCTGCATTGTAAAACAAGACATAGAGGCAAACAAACATGGGTCAGGGGCAATGAGGCAGCAAGACATGGATCTGACTTTGGAGGGAGGGGGTGCAGCAGGAGGACTTGATGGACAACTCCACAGCTCGGCAGAGGCAGAGCTTTCACTTAAAAATGGTGCCTGGCCTATCTCAAAAGGTCAGAGCCCAGAACGCTAACACACTACATTAATCATGAGAGGCTGCGGCTTACCTGTCTAACGTTTCAACCGTGTGGTACAGTTAACCTCAATTACGCTTGATTACGAGGTGTGGAAGATGCAAGGCCCGAGCCGGGTCTTGCATAAGATCAGGCATCAATAATGCACTTTTATATTAGCTGTGGGAATGGACAGTGGGGCTTCATAGGGGAGAAGCATCCAGGGGTCAGTGAACAGGTTAAAAATGGAACATTGCAACATAGTTTTCTCTGGGCCTCAAGCGAACATCTACACGCAGAGGCCTCAAGCCAGGATAAAGCATAAGCATATGCAGAGACATATGCATGTGAGACACAAACACATACACCAAAGCGCTGTGTGGTTTACCAAAGAGAGCTAAGGGCTTCATGCTGTCCCAGCCCCCTTCTTGGTAATTGCCCCATTATGTGTTGGTGGTAGATGGAGCCATTACAGATGTTTTATGACGGGGGCCATTTTCATTTTGTCTTCCCAGTGAGGGACAGATTTATGGTGCAAGACAGTCTTCCATTCAGGGGTAAAAAAAAAAAAATAAAACCCTCACAAGTGCGTTTCTTAATATGAAAACACACACACTGGCTTGAGTTTATATGTGTAAATTCACTGCATTGTCTTTATGTTAACCTAACATGTTCTGCCCCAACCCAGCGCAGTGCAGTGCCCAGGGTCTGTGAATGAAGTTGCTGGCAGGAGCTTAAGAGATGAATAAATGTTTGATGGCCTCGTGGAACAGGGTGCACTTCATGGCTGGTCGTCAATCTGTTGCTCAAGTTAGAAGAGCGGGAGGGAGGTTTGCTGGGGGAAGACCTCCTCGAAGAGTCCCTGGTCTGTGGGGAAACAACAGGCCTCGAGTAAAACCGACTCTGACACTTTCTCACCAAATGTTATCCTACCAAAAAAAAAACCCTCATAAAGGGCAAAGTAAACAGCAGTTAGATTTTCAGAATTAATCTCTTTTAGCTTCCAGTGAAGTGTTTGAAGTGCTGAAGACTCTTTGGCTACGTGGTTTCTTTCCAGAGGCTGTTTTGGTGTGGTTCCCCAGAGTTCCCGTTTGGAAATCAAATCTTTTAGCTCAGTAGCTTTTTAATGCCAAGAAAAATATTGGTCGTAAATTGGTGCCTGAATTGGCAGCCTAATTACAGGGCTGTGGATTGAAAATTTACTCTGCAACTCATGGCTGCAATTATTAAGGTTAACAATAGGGACAGTGGGGTAGAGATTGCATAGCTTCAAAAAAACTCGGCTTATTTTACGACCCGCTTAACCGACGCAGGGATATGTTCTGAAATAGGAGCAGGTCCTGCTCTTTCTTAGAAACCATCTCCTCTTCGTGCACAAGCTGCCGAGAGTTGTCAGGTACAAGTCTTTTAACAAACAAAGTCACCAGAGGAACACTCATTATTAATCATTTACTAGGGTAGCACAAAGAGAGACTGGAGAGACTAGATAGCCCTGAGGACCCAGGGGTTTGTGACTGAAACGCAGCCTCATCGTGTTGCACACACACCGGCCACTGTGACACTTCCGACACCTCGCTCCTATCAGCCCTACCTGCCCACTGATGATTGATTTTTCTCCCTGCGAGATAGATAGTTAGAAACAAAGCCCTTTGCTGAAAATCGCACCACCGTGGCCTAAAAAACAGCAAGCTTCCAAAAATGCAGCTGTTTCGACTACATACGGAAATCCCACCTGGCTCGAAAATGTGGGACGTGGACGCGGAGCTGAGTGAATGATGTATGGCTGACCACGTCCGATGTTAGTTTCTGTCAGTTCTCTCAAATACTGCTTTTTATTCACTGCAACATAAATTCTCCTTTTCTGGCATGAGGAATGGAGTGAGGTTTGTTTGACCAGATGTAACTTTATCAGCGGCTCTCTCTCTATCTCTCTCTCTTTCCCCCCACTATTCTTGTGTCTCTCACATCTCTTAGCTCAGGCACAAAAAAAGGGAGCTCTCACACAATATTTCTGTTTGCCGTAGTCTGACCTCTTTGTGAACTGCGGTAAAGTGAAAGGCACTTTCAGCCGGGGGGAATCGGATGGCAGTAACCATATGCCTTTCAACTGATACAAAGGTGGGAAAGGGGGAGGCCAGGGGTGTGTGTGTGTGTGTGTGTTGGGTGGTGTAGTGGTGGCGGTGGTGGGGGGGAGTTGCATGCTAGGGTGAAAAGGAAAGTGCCGTGCTGCATCTTTTTGTGTTGGTAAAGTGGTGGTGGTTTAAGGTCGGAAGGTTTGGGGTGGGGGGATATTGGGTGGGTGTGGCGCTGAACTCGAGGCACTGTCCGGCTGACTGGCTGCTGGGGGGGCCTCTTATGGATGAGTGCAATGAGTAAACAGCATTCCTTTCTCTGTCTGACCCTCTCTGTCCCTATATGTCTGTCCTTCACATAATGCACCCCCCCAGAAAAAGGCTTCCAATACAGAATAGAGCAGCAACTCCTGCTACTTGAGACCTGTTAGAGTTCAGTGCAAGAAGCCCCTCAAAAAGCCCAACAATCGGACGATCTGCAATGATGAAACTCTAGGAGCAGGTGGAAGGAAGTCCACGCTATTAATATTTAGCACTATCAACCTTTAACTTGTAAGACCATTAAACACGTGATTTAAGAAGTCAATATCTCATGCAAAAAAATGCTCCATTAAACAATGACTACTTATCGTCATTCAAAAACTGCTGTCTAGTTGGTTACTGCAAATGTTAGCTGCATGTCCAATTTCTTATCAGCCACCCCTGTACCGCCCAAGTTGTTTCTCAGTGGTGGCACACAGAAGTGCAGTTGCTAGTGCTGAAAGTCCTGGGTTTGATTTCACTGGTTGGCGTCTTTCTGTGGGGAATATGCATGCTCTCCTGATGTCTGGATAGTCTAGCTTGCTGCAGTCCAAAGATTAGCACGTTAGGTTAATTGGAGGTTTTAAATTGGCTTTAGGTGTGAATGCTTGTCTGTTTCATTGTGTCATCCCCATGACAGACTGGCGACCTGTCCAGGCTGTCCTGCCTTTTGTTCTGTGACAGCTGGGATAGGTTCCCCCACAACTGTAAGTAAAAGCACTATCAGCTATTATAAAAATGACTCACTTCGAGCTTGTTGCTATGACCTATTATGCCATGTGTATTTATATACCGTATATTGTAGTGCTGTTCTTTTTCACAGTAACTCTTTGTTAAAGGCACCATGCTTTTGCCATCGCTGTTATTCTCTCACTATGACGTATGAGTCTAATTGCTCTCTACAGGTCTATCAAGACTGCATCTGTACTTTGGTCTCCTTCACATGAACTCATTCTTTTTTTAAATTTGGTCTAATGTGACTGAAATATAAAGCAGTCATGTTAAGTTGCAGCAATACTGTTTAAGAATGCAGATCATCAGCACGATAGAGGAAAAAGTGAAAATAACAGTTACGTTTATTCAGTTTAAACTTCCTCACAGGTCAAAGGTCAGGAACGACTGTGGAATGGCAGTGCTGGAGTTGTTTGGGATTCGTTCATGTATTTATT